TTGAACTCCTGTAAATCCTCCCACAGTTGGATTTCTGCACTTTTCAGAGATTACGTTTCCTGACAGTACATTTCTCCTTCCCCCTCACTTCAGTGACAGCTTAGGCGAGGCTCCAGGGACCAAAGCGCTCAAACCTGGCTCTGGAAATCTGAGCTCTGACACAGAGCAAGCCTAACTTTTTAGGGGCTGAGCAACTCGTGCCAAGTGAGAGGATTAGACCCAGAAATGCTGATTTGAGGCTGGTGCTCCCATCCAGGAGCTGGGTCATCCTACCAGGACCTGGCAGCTGGACCACAATGGGATCCTCTCTGCTGGGACCTCTTGGTCAGCCTTGTCCAGTTCAGCAGAATTTATAATTGAACACAGGGTGATTTACTCCTGCATAATGAGATGCAAGAAGATCTTTTTTACACTAGGCTGGAGGCTTGCCTTTATGGGCATCTCAAAGCCTTGGCCTTGAATGGAAACCTGTCTCCTGCTAGCAGAAGATTGGATACACCTCATCATCACTTGTGCATATTTTTGCTTGCCAGGCAATCACAGGAAAACAGATGAAGAAAGATTGATCCATAGGCCTTAATTTTATGGGCTTGAGTGGAATCCACCTCCCATCAATTTACCAACGAAGGTTAGAAGAGCCAATATCCTTATCATTCCCTTCATTGTGGCTGGGAATAATCTGCCAAATGAGCTATCCTTTTAGAAGGGTGCTATCACAGAGAAGCGCTTTTGCACCTGCAAGGGCTGTGGAGTTATTTGCACTGCTTAGTGCCTAGCTGAGGTTGTTCCATCTGTGCATGGGGTCTCTCTCCATTTGCAGAGAGACTCAGCGCCCTGCATCCTTGCTGTGGGGCCTGGGAGCCTTGCCCAACCCAGCTTTCACATCCTTTGTGTTCCCATCCTGCAGCTTGGAGGGACATGAGAGAGCTATCCCTGCCACCAGGGGCTGGTGACATGCATTTCTACAAGTGTCACAACCAGATTTTGCCCTCAAGGATGTGGTACCCATATTAGAAATGCAGTCCTTCTCTTTGTGTTATTTTGTTTATTATTATTGTTATTTGTTAAAAGTCCCCCAGAAAACTAAGGCAGAGAAATGGAGCCACTTGCCCGAGGTCGCTTAGCAGCTGCAAGCCTGCCCTGATTTCCTGCTGTTGTGTTAGGAGTGTGAGCAGCTCTTTGCTCTGATGACAGTGAGGGCTTTACAGTAAGGAGGAAAAAAGCCATCTTTCAGCAGGCACCTCGCTGTGCTCCCAAGTGCATCCCACAGGGTGCGAGTGAAGTCAAGAGGCTGCTGTGGAAGGGTTGTACCAATTCTCTGATCACCGCCGGCTAATGACAGCCCCAGGGAGCCAGGCCCTCGAGCTGGCAGCAAGGAGGAGTGTACAGAGAGCAACAAAGTTCTAAATGCAGCAGTCAGAGCTCAGCACAGAGCTCAAGCTCATGACAACAGTGAAGAAACATAGAACCACAGTGTGGTTGGGTTGGAACAGACCCCAAAGCCCCCCCAGCGCCACCCCTGCCATAGGCTGGCTGCCCCCCAGCTCAGACTGCCCATCCATGGCCTGTGGCACCTCCAGGGATGGGGCACCCACAGCTCTGGGCAGCAGTGCCAGCTCCTCACCACTCTGAGTGAAGAATTCCCTCCTAACATCTCACCTAAATCTCCCCTCTTCTGGCTTAAGGCCACTCCCCCTTGTCGTCTCACTATCAGACTGTCTAAAAACTCGGTCCCCCTCATGCTTGTAACCTCCCCTCAGGCACTGTAACACTGCAGTGAGGTCACCCCAAGCTAAACAAGCTCACCTCCCTCAGCCTTCCTCCATAGGAGAGGTGCTCCAGCCCTTAAAAGTCAAAGTGATTCCCCCATCCATCCCAAAAATTTGCATCCCAGCCTTCAGCCACCAAAAACCTGCTCTGATCGATCAGCTGTAACATTTAGTACTTAACTCCAACAAGCATGCGGCTGCTCCCCAAGAGAGAGAAACTGAGGCATTGGGATGGGGCGAGCAGGACCTGGAGGAACCCAGCTCTCCCTGCGCCGCCGTGCATCCAGCTTTGTGCTGGCCTCAGCAGAAACCTTCCCTTAACGTAATTAAGGGATGAGCAGAGACGGCTGCGAGCGGAGGCGGCTGTTTATGAGCACAGAGGAGGAGGGCATGCCGGGAAGCTGCGCCGTCCTCCCGCTCGATCCCACTGCTCAGGAGCACGACCCCTGGGTGAGGCTGTGTGCAGTGCTTGGAGGCCCTCCAACTCCACTGCATAGGGCTGGAAGCAAATTGGTTGTGGTGGTTGTGATATGGCGTGAGATGCTTGCTCTTCCAAGGGCTGCGGGATGGAGGAGAAGCCCGTGCTTCTTCTTGCAACTGGTCTCAGCCTGCTTGTTAGACCTGGTCAATAGTTTGCTGTCAGGAGCGATTCTCTCATCAAATAGGTGTTGGGTTTTTTCCTTTCTGCCAGAGCAGAATTTTTCTCAGAATGTGTCAATTTTCAGCCAAATTTTTTGCTTTCGGTGCTTTCTTTTCTTTCCTTCTTTCTTTCCTTCTTTCTTTCTTTTTTTGCCTGCTTTAAAAAATAGCAGAATTGCACTGGCTGTCAGCTCCTGAAGCCTGAATCTGAGGGCTCAAGCCAGCAAAGTCTCCACGTACACTTTTGATTTAATGTCAAAAAGAAGTAGTGGAATGGAGGAAGGTTTTTAAGGGCTGATTTTCACAGGGAGAAAATGGTATGTGTTTAAGAGCTGTCAGCAAAGTTTTTAGTCCTTATAGAGAGCCTGGGAGTGGCTCAGAAGGAGCAGTGCTCAGGGACGGGGGTGGCTGCAGCCAATTGCTGGTGACATCCAGTGGCAAGTGGGTTTATGTTTGGGCACGGGGCGTCTTTGTCTCTAGTTCAGCTCATGCAGTGTTCACATTCAACACTAAACATGACAGCTCCATGATACAGTGGAAAATGTACCATCTGGAGCAATGCTTATGAAAGCTTTCAATCACAGAATCATAGAGGTTGGAAAAGACCTCTCAGATCACCAAGTCCAACCCCAGCCTACTCCACCATGCCCACTGTCCCTCAGTGCCACATCTCCACAGTTTTTGAGCACCTCCAGGGATGTTGACTCCATCACCTCTCTGGGTAGCCCATTGCAATTCTTAATATCCAACCTGAACCTCCCCTGGCATAACTTCAGGCTATCACCTCTTGCCTTCTCACTGTCCTTTGGATAGGCTCTGCGCTCCATCCCATTGGATCTGCAGTGGTGAAGCTCAGCTGGTGCAGATGATGTCAACTCAGCTGCTGCCTCACCCCAGGGACCACTCAAAGGGTCCATGGGCAGTGGGGATGTGCCCTGCAGCCCCAGGTCCATGGGCTCGTTGGCTTCACAGGGCATTTGGGTGTTGCCAGAGTTAATGCAGGAAACGCACGCCTCTCCCGTGTGTGTTTATGCATGCAAAGACGTGCCTGCTGGGGAAGGAGTGGAAGGCTTGTGATTTATCATTGCTTTGTAATGGGTGCCATGCTTCTAGTGAAAGAGGTCAGCCTCCCTGTGAGATACCAAACCCCCTCCTTATTAACGTCCTGTTAGAGCTAATGGCTTGGGGTAGGGCAAGCAGGTCTTACAAGGAAGGCATTAAAGAGCAGCGCTACTTGGAAGGGAAGCCAAAGAATTTACAGCAATATTTACACAGAGGCTCTCCCCAGAGATAAGGAGGTACACAGTCGCTCAGCAGATAAGCAGAGCTGTGGGACGAGGCGCAGAAGGCACTGTTGTCTGTGCATCCTTAAGTTCAACAGGAGTGTAAGCCAGAGCTGCCTGGAGTGGAAGGAAGGGATGTGGTTGGGGCCACGTGTACCAACTGGGACATGGTGCCTGTGGATATAGATACAGCATTAGTTCAGTGCCTGGGAGCGAGGAATGGGACCAGCAGAACTCCGTCATGCTCCTAATGGAATCCCCAAACCTTGGTTTGAAGGCATGAATTAACTCCTTAGTGAATGCCATTGCTCATCCTAGTTGAAGATGGGATGATATGGGCTGGGTGGATGTCCCATGGCAGTGCTTTCTGTCCTGCCCACCATGTGCTTTGAGAGTTGCAGGCTAAGTGAGAGCTGTTCCTACAGCAGCTCGTGCTGCTGTCTTCCAGCTTTGGCTCAGAGCCCCGCCATGACCCTAGGAGCTGTGTACTGAGGGCACAAGGACCTGTTCTATGGGCTGGAGGAAAGAGGCAGACCTCCCTCCCTTTTGTAGAGAGAGATGTGAAATCTAATCCTTTAACAAGTTGTATTTGCTCAGAGTACAGGTCATGCAAAAATCCCCCCAGCTGGTGGGCAAGTGAGAGACTTGGGGCTCATTCCTGTCTGGCTGCCGTCAGGTCCCACCTCCCAAATGCTTCACTCCAGGCTCACCTTGTCACACATTTCTCTTTTTTTATCCATTAGACCTGCAGTGCATCTGCACCCAACTGTCCCAAAGCCACTGGGCTTCGGATCCAGCCATGTCTGCAACAGAGAAACCCAATAGCTCCAGCGCAGCAATCCATAACGAGACACCCCTGTCTGCTCTGTGCTCCTTCTTCCATCCCTGGAGGCCTCCATGTGCCCCCCATTTCCCTCCCAGCCTCAAATAACCCACGGCCACCACTTCATCTTGCACTCGGCCACGTCTTCACTCCGCCGACCTCCCCAGCCCCTAATAGCACTCGGACAGCGATCTCCAAGCACACCATCCATCACTTGACTAGCACATTATTTATTTACCATGGGGGAGAGAAGGGAGTTGAGTTGTCTGGAGAATGTATTAAATTTTCATTTGTTCTCATTGATTCCTGAAAGGAAATGCTGAGTTATGCCATCAGGGTGGACTAGTTACAATATAGAGAGTGTCTCCTATAGAGGGGAACTGGAATGGGGACAGAGTTAAGGTTATTTGGAATATTGAAACTATGGTAATCATTTGTGAAATGTACCTGAACATGTTTTCTCTGTTCCCCTTCTCTCTGCTGCAGCTCCTTGCCCCAGATACATGCTAGACTCTTGCTGATATCCTTTGCCATATGGGACGTGCATGGTGCTGCTTCCTCCTGGCTGCCACTCATGGGGTTCTGCTCCGGCTCCGAAGCTCCGTGTGTGGGAACTGCTCCTGGCTGGGGCTCATCTCTGTCTGCAGGAGCTGCTCGGCCTCTTTCAGCACATCCCAGTCTGCTTGGAGCAAGCATCTCTTCTCCAGGTAGCCGCTTTCTCTCCCCCGCATTTCAGCCATGGTAGTTATCACATTATTTATGGTAAATTTTCCTTTTTTGTTGTTTTTTAAGTGTATGCTAATAACATAATTTATACAAAAATGACTTTTGCATAGGAATCCTTGTCATCCAAGACCTGCTCAGCTTCCTTCCCCAGCCAGAGATTGTGTCCCAGCCAAAAGGGATGATGATGGGTCACATTTGTGTGCTTTGAAGCCCACCAAGGACTGACCTGGAGTCCAGAGAGCTGTGGGTGCCCCAACCCTGGAGGTCCCCCAGCCCATGGATGGGTCCTGAGCAGCCGGAGATAGTGGGGGCAGCCAGCCCATGGCAGGGGTGGGACTGGACAGGCCTTGAGGTCCCTTCCAGCACAACCATTCTATGGTTCTATGTCCTAGGAGTGTGGACTGAAGAAGATCTGATCTTGGAAGAGGCTGTTGCTCCTCTGCCCCTCCAGCCCTGCTCTCTGCCTTCTGGCACTGAGTCTCCTGAATTCAGGGAAAGGCAGTGCAGAAGGGGGGGTGGCTTTACTCTGGTTTTATTTGTGCAGTCTGGAGGATAATCAGGGGTCCTCAAGTTTCTGTGGGAGTTGAAAGAAAGGACAGCACAGACTGGCACTGTTCCCAGTCCAAAATGTTTTTACTAATTGCATGCAACCTTCCTTACAAGAGAGAGACTGCAAATACCACAGGCAGTTTAATTACCACTGCTGGTTCACATTGATCTTATTTATGCTGCTCCCAGTGCTGTGTGTGCAGTGTGTGTGTGTGGGGCAGGGAAAGGCTGCGCGGGGAACTGCGGATGACTGGAATTGGGTGGGGAAATCCAAGGGATGTGCATGTTTATTTCCGGTGTGGGATCTCTCCAAAAAAACATCACCATTTGCATCTGGTGTGCAGGGCAGCTGTGCCCCAAATACCCTGGTGTGGGTGGGATGGGGGCAGAGTGAGGATGAGGATGGGCGCGGAGGATGCGCATTGCGGTGAGGTGATGCCACCATGGCCAAGTCGCCAGTGGCTGGAGAAGCCCTGAGCCCTGTTGGCAACCTTCCCTTTGCCAACCTTCCCCTCCTCGCTTCCTCCCCATCCCACAGTGGGGAGAAAGCGGCACGGGAGGAATCCGAGGCGAGCAGGCTGATGGCTGCCGTCCCAGTGCAGGCTCAGCAAATGGGGCTCGTGATGGATGAATGTGCAGGGCAAGAAGTAATAAAATGGGCCCCAGTCATGTAATCTTCCATTAAAATGAAATGCATACCAGAAATGAGGCATTTCTGCAGCTTGTACCATCTCCCACGGAAGATCATGAATAAAAGAGGCAAGTGTACTGTTGACAGATGCCGGCATGCATAAAGGACAGTTCCTATAAAGGCAAAGCCCCGGCTAACAGATGGACTAAAGATGTGAGATGCAGGAAGATTTACCAGTCTAAATAATTCAAGGGAATGTCGTATGGGGAGGCAGTGCTGGAGAGGGGAGCCGGCAGAAGGTACAGATGGAAAGGCAGGCCAGGCCTTTCCCACAAACCCATTAAGAACGTCGCTTGTCTGAGTGACAGTATGTCGCGCGCGGCACCGGCAGAGAGGGGTGGATTTGCCTCCAGCGCTCCTTCTGCAAGGTCAGGAGAGGAGTCAATCTCAGAGGCTGCAACTTTTGGAGGGCACGCTTTGCCTCCTGCAAGGCTGCTTCCTCTGGGATGCTTGGCACGGCAAGCAGAAGGGCTGCTGGATCCGGATTTGGGAATGGAATGGCCCCAAATTGCTGATGGAGAGCTTCAGTTCCCACTGCTTCAAACCAGACCATGAGAAACCTGAGGCAGGTGCTGGGATGGATGGAGGGCTCCTATGAGTTGGTCATGTTTGTGCTGTGCTGAACGTAGTCCATCATGGGTTGGGTGGCTGCTAGTGCACATGGGGCTGCACATCGAGCTTTTGCAGCTGGAAACTGCAAACTTGATCTCAACTGCCAACCTTGGGCCCCCTTTTGCAACCTAGAGACAGCAGGGCAATGAGAGCTGGAAGCATGGTGTCAGGCTCCCAGGTGCCAAGCTGAAGGTAAGAAATGTGCTGCAAAGGTCTCAAAAGTGTAGGATATGGGGAAGCTGCTGCTCATCACCCCTGGGTGTGCCCTGGACCCCTGTCCCCCAGGTGAACCCGGGGCTTGCTGGGTGAACACGAGACATTTTGGGAGAAGCAGGGAGATAAAGGGCAAGATGCAGAGGGTTAGATAGAAGTTGGCGGCAGCTGCTTGGCAGAGATTGTGCGTGCTCTTCGCTCGGAGAGGACGCCTTCCCTGGGCTCGTCAGCCGTCTGCAGCGCAGCGATTAATCATTGGTGTCAGAATCCCTAATCCTATTCAATGGAAAACAAACAGCGCGGCATCCAGCCCTGTGCTGAGCCCAAGCAATTAGCATGTTTACATGGACTGGGAAAGCTCAACAAAGAGTGGCCAACAGGGGCCACGGGAAACGAACTCTTGTCAGCCTGCGATCTTGGAGAGCCCGGGATCCCTGGGCTCTGATGAAGGCTTAGGCTTGGAAATGTGGTTTGAAGGGGCTGAGTGTGGGTGTCCTTGCTATCAAAAGTGATTTTTCTTGATAGAGGCTCAGAAGTGAGCGAGTGTAGGTGGATGCTGAAGTGAGGGCTGTATTCAGGTTGTAGGGTCAGCTCAGGAAATGGGATCTGGGGGCAATGGGAGTTTTGCTTGTGATTCAATCATAGAATCATAGAGCTGTTTGATTTGGAGGGGACCCTTAAAGGCCACCTGGTTCCACTCCCTGCACTGAACAGGGACATCCACAGCTCCATCAGGTGCTCAGAGCCCACCAGCCTGACCTTTGCTGTCTGCAGGGATGGAGCACCCACACCTCTCCGTTCAACCTGTGCCAGAGCTTCACTAACATTGTTGAGTCAGCAGTGGGAACAGCAGGAGAAAAGGCTTTTGCAATTCCATCACACTAAATCCTGCCTCCAAAAAAAAAAAAAAAAAAGAAAGTAGTTTACATTTAAGTTTCGAGTGCAGCATGAGAGCTTGGGAGGCTGGGAGTGAGACAGCCCTCATGAGCACTTGGTTGCTCTCGAAATGAAGGGCCATTGCTGGGTGCGCGGCTCTCCTGCTTCCCTCCCAGAAACACATCTGATTTTGGGGGGTGGAAAAAGAGAGGATTGATTCAAATAAAAATGTATTTGTATGAGAAAAATTATTTCCTTCCATGAGAAAACACATAGTTTGAGGCAAATTTATGGCTTTGGCCTGGTCATTAATATCTGGTTGTCAAAAAGTATTGGTTTGAACAAAAATATGTTGTAATAAAAATGCATTGTTTTGAAGAAATTTATTGTCCCCATGAAAACCTATTCAATTCAGAAAGATATGTTGATTTCAATGAAAATCTATTTGTTTTAAGAGACAGACAGAAGTTGCATTCAGCTGAGAGCCGGAGGCTTCTCTCGGTACAAATCGCCCTGCAATGCTGCTGTGTCGGGATGGAGAAAGGCAGATCTGCAGCCGGACTGCAGAGGCAGCTCAGTGACCCAGTGCTGCCCCAGGCATGCAATGGGTGAGGTCTGGGGTCCCCTTTGGGCTAAGGGGAATTGCGTGGGTTTGCATTTCTCAGCCCTGCTGTGGACTTAGCCCAAGGTGGGACTGGCTTAGGCTGTTCTGCCTAAGCCTCTTTCCCTGCCAGTCAGGACTAGGTAAAATTCACTCTGAGCTCAAAAGCCATAATGCTGCCTTAGCTGGGATTATAAGAGGAGCCACCACGGCATCACCTGAAATCCACCTCCTGGTGCCTTCAGTTTAAAACAATCAGCACTTGTTTGCAGTGGGCTTTTGCTTTCATTATGCTCCAACTCTGCTATTTAATCAGCTTCTTCCTTCCTCTGTTTGTACAAGGCATCGCTAGCCCATATTAAAAGGGGGAAGGGAAGGCACAAGATAAAATAAAATCGCCTACCCAAGAAATGTCACTGCCTCAGTGTTATCCCCTCCCTGCCAACATGCGCTCGGGTGCTGGTGTCAATGGAAAGGTTGCCTCTGATTAATATTAATAAAGAATTAGAGCTGTGTTTGTCATGATCACCTCGTTTGGTATTGCTCTGTGTGGCAGGTGAAAGCAGAGGAAGGAAGGGAAGAGGTCTGCGTGGCATTCATTAATCATTTCATCAGGAAGGAGCTCAAAGCAGATCCCTGCCTTAAGAAGGGCTGCAGGCAGGGATGGGGCTGTGCTGATCCACACGTTCCTCCTCGCATCTCTGACCTCCCACCTGCCCAGCTGCTAAGGCACCTCTAGGATCTGGGGCGTTTTGGTGCCCAAATGTGGGCTGTCTTGGTCTTGGATGGGCCAAGCTGATGTATGAACTCCTGTTGTAGGTCTGCCATTGGTATCTATAGACCAGTTAGAAAACAGACAAATGACTCTGATTCCTTGAAGAACATCTTTGGTTCCCCTTTGATTCAAGAAATATTGATGAGACCAGTGTCTGAGTGGCTGGGTTTTTCCCTCTAAGTCAGTAACCCTCCTGCACACTGAGATGCAAATCTCCTGAGAACAAGGACTTCTGCTTGGTCTGCACGTGAAGAGTGACCAGGAGCTGGGAGATACAAAAGCCCCAGGAAGGTGTGTTCCATCTCCAAAATGAGTGTGGTAGGGACACAACTGAACCGAAAATAGGTATTTGATCTAAGAGAACTCCTTGACTTCCAGAAGGTGGTTTTTCCCACCATAAAATAGGTAACCAAATTGGAGAAACCCTTCCTCCATTGGCTGGAAAGATGTTGTAGATGAACAGAAACAGATAGTAGAAGGCTTGGGTTCTTTGCGGGGTGATGCTAACATAGTGGCCTAACGTGTACAATTTATCTAGCCTTTTAGCAGTATTTTGTTTCCTTAACATGTGGAGATTCCTGTACATCTTGTCTTGTGTCCACATCTGTATGTGTCCAGAACTGGTCTGTGTTTTTTTTTCTATCCCATATTTTCTGAACACAAGACAAGAAAGAGTTGCACTCTTACATCTTGTAAAGAGTCTTTGCATTAAAAATTTGCAGCTCAACCTTCTTGTTCCCTTTTCCTTCCTTTCGTTTGAGGATGCTATTTATTATTCAAATGTGGGAAGAGTCGAGCCAAGTGGTGCATTGCTCTCATTAATTATTCTCTGGGATTAAGGAATCAGTTAAATCCATATCTCCCTTAATCCTGTTTTATTAATTTTATATTCTTGGCAAAAAAGAAGGAAAACAACAATCCCCCACCCTCTTTACAAAGGGATCATGCAGCTTTCTGCTGGGACCCTGAGAACAGGAAGTCTCTGGTGTTCCATGGATGCTCTTCTTTTTAATTTGATAAAATAAATTAGCACAGGATTAGTGCCTTCCTGCGTGGGCCTGCAGCGTGGCTCAGCTGTGGTTGCTACCTTAGGGGGTGGCATTAAGCATCATTCTGGTTGCACAGAGGTGAGATGTGAGAGCCCCAGCCAGTTCATTGCTGGGAAGGAGAGCTTTCTTCTTAATAACAGCACACCTTGCAGCCTTTCTTCCCCAAGAGGCCTGTGTGAAAGTGGTTGCCTTCTGCCAGGTACAGGTTTTGTGCTGGATGAGATTTGATTGCTGGGAACGAAGATTTGGTCTGGGATAAGGCAGAAGGGGAGTGGGAATGTGGAAGGGGAGCTTTTGGAGCTTTCATCTCTTCGTGGCAGAGGTGCTCCAGCTGGTGCATCGGGACTTCGGTGACTCTTCTGTCATGAGAGTGGGGAAACCAGGCTGTAAGGAAGCAACCTGTAGCTGCAGGGAAGGCTTAGTAGCCTCCAGCCTGCTTGTTTTATGTGGCTGTAAGACAGAAGAGAAAGGCCAGTGGTGGTGTGTGGCCACATAACCTGTTTCTTGGATGCAGGGAAACCCACACTGGATTCCCATGAGCAGGATAGAACCAGCCCAGAAAGGGGCTGGGGCTTGCAAGGCTCAAGGAAGTATCTGGTCCCTCAACTAGGATCAGTGATACTTGGGAAATACTTCTCTCTCTATTTAAACCAGAACTGATAGGACAGTGCTCAGAGCTCTGCGCAGGAGAGCATGGGGCTGGTGAAACAGGTTGCATCAAAAACCAACCAGCCATCCAACCAGCCAACCAACCAACCAACCAACCAGCCAACCAACCAAACAGCTAATGCCTTCATGACCGATAATTTCTTATCCTTCTCTTGTCTTGAAGATGACCTCAGCAAGCACTGAGCTGGGCTCTGGGGATGCAATACTATTTAACTTTACTCTTTGATTAAGGAAAGCCTTTAAAGCAGAATTGTGCCTGAAGAATTGCCAAGTGTTTTCTCCCTAGAGAGGGTGCCTTGTTTGTCGATAATGACAGGACTTAGAAATGAGTCTGCAGCAACGTCAGCTGGGCAAGGTCATAATGGAGAGGGGTTTGTCCTTTAGCACAGGAACTGATCTTCAGTCCACCTTCAGCTTTCCTATGAAGGGCTGTGTGGATTATCAGGTGTTGGCAGATAAATCCCATCAACACTGGGGTCACTTCTGAAAGCTGTTCTTTCTTTTGAGGGTGTCTTTGTCTCACGAAATCTCTTCTGGCTTCACCTGAGTACCTTTGCTGCAGAATAAAGGGACACACCAAAAGTGACTGGAGTTGCTTTTGGGGTTTTTTGTTACGGAAATCCCCACAGTTTCAGCCATCTGAGAAGTGCAGAGATTTTTGTAGAAGAATTTCATTTTAGTGTAAAAGAAAGCAGAAGCTGTCAAGACCCTGCAATAACAGCAAAACATCTTTAGGATTGTATTTATTAAAGATCCCAAATCTTCTGTCTTTTCTATTCCAACCAGGGATTGCTTTTCTCCTGCAGTGTATCTGCTGTGTTTTCTTGTTTGTGAAGATTCACTGGATAGTGGGAAAGCCTATTCCTATAAAAACACAGTTGCATTGGATGAAAGGTATAAAGCAAATGGCCTCATTTGTTTTATACAGTCTAGGAACAACTTCCTAGCTCACTGTGTTAGCAAGAGCCAGCTCCTTCTTGTTCTGCTGTTAGTGGAGCAGGCAGGGAGCAAGAGGATGTCCCATTCCCAGGCATGGGGAATACCCTATAAACACAGACTGGTGTTCCATGTGTACTGGGACACAGATAAGAGTCAGGCAGGATTTCATGACTTGATAATTCTGGGCACTATGGAAAATCACTGAGAACCTGCGAGGTGTCAGGCTGGCATCGAGGAAATCCTTGTCTCTGATTGAGAGGCCCAGAACTGGACAGATGGTGGAGTGGGACACATGGAGTTGGTTGGAGGCAAATGGTGCTCTGGGCCTAAGAAAATGTGAGGGAATCCTCCTAGCCATGCCAATGAGTTAGGCTTTTCCTTGCTGGGAGTTGGCTGGGAGGAGTTTTTTTCGGTAGTGTTTGGGTAGAAAATATCACTGTGCACTGATGGTTGGGTTGGCAGAGCCTTCCCTCTTGGTGGGGACACAAACTAAAGAAAAATGTGGGCTGTGAAGACTACAAGAATTTGCTTCAGTAGTCATTTTCTTTGGGAAAAAAAAAAAAAAAAAAGAGCTGAGGAAAAGCCAAAAAGACGTTAATAAAGATTTCAAACAGCATTCTGCTAAGTGCCCCGGTGGTGGCTTGATCTCGTCTCCAGTCTTTTTGGTGAAAGACCTCTTTTAAGTTAATTTGCATTGCGAAGCATCACTGATGCTCTGGTGAAGGAGACCTCGCACAACCGTGCACAAGGCAAGCCAAAAAAACAAAGGCGTGTATTTCAAATTTGAGGTAGGAATTATATA